CGCCGCGCCCCCCCCCGCCCCGCCCCCCGGCGGGTGCTCCCCGCCGCCGTCGGTGGGATGGGGTCGTAAAATTGACGGGCAGTGTCCAGCCGAGGGGTTCGAGGTGATTTTCAACCGCTGCAGCGTTTCCCGCGTCCCGCAGCGCAGCGAGGAGCGGCTCCAAGGTGCTGCGGCTCCGCGCGGGGAAGCGCTGGATCCCGTCCAGGTTCACACGGAGGTAACTCGAACCAGCCGGTCTGCAGAAAAGCGTTCTGCCAGGGTGGTTGCATCCAAGTTGCCTTGACTGCACGCTCTGTTCTCCCCCGCCTCCCCCCGTTGTGTGAGTGGGATGTTATTAGCGTGGGATGTGCTCGGGCAAGGAGCTTATCCCGGGGTATTTTTACTCAGGTGAGTAATGCCGCTGCTTTCACTAGGGCACGGGTATTGGTTGGTCTTACAGCTGAGCTGTATCGCTGCCTGACTTGCAGGAAGGTGGTAACGTGTGTATGAAAAAAAATCCAAATTGGAGAATTGAAGTGAAAACTGCTTATAATGATTTTTTTAGTTGTGATAATCCAAACTCTTCTGTGACTGTACATTGAGGTGTCCCTTCAGATAATTTTCTGGATGCAGATACATCAAGTTTTGCCCATAATATCACCCTATTTGTGTTAGCAATAACAGCATTGAATGGAAATGAGTACATAAGGTTTTAACTATCCAGGCAGTTTCCATGTTCCATCAGAGCAGCTGTATGCCTGTGACTTGATGGAGGAAGGCAGAAATAAGAGAAATATAAATCTGGCCAGTTAAGGGATGCAGAAATTAGATTTTTTTTTTATTTTTCTTTTCCCAATAGAGCACTGTAAGGAACTTGTAAAAATTCAGATAAGGGCCACTTGGGTGCCTGCTTTCACCTCCCTTATGTGCTGTGGCTGCCTATGGCAGTAGCTTTGTAAAAAGTAGTAACTGTAATTAGTAAGAGTTCAGCTTATTTACCAGTAAATAACCTTGTATTTCCTTTCTGGGTAAACGTGAAGTAGAAGTGGGTAATTAGCAATAATAGAAACCTGATAGCTACAAACAGCCTATCCATGGGTAAAATCAGTGAAAGAAATAACTCCTGTCACCCCTAGTGACAATACTTGCTGCAATTCCTAGGATAGAGTTGGAGGTTTCCAGACTTGGCTCTGACAGTTTTTTCTGTTAAGGAATACTAGCTGCAGTGTTCAAAACTATTTTAAATGTTAAGGTAGGTACATGTGCATCTCACCAGGCTTTTCATTATTAGTTAATTTAAAGCCAGGCATAATATATGTATGTTTTGCTTGCTTTTAGACAGTTTGATGGAAAATACAAAGTAGTGGTATGTTTTAATACATTTCTAGACTGGCAGAAAATTACTTATTGGTGTCTAATTTAACCCAGTACTCAGCAAAAAAGTCCACCTGTATCCACAAGCTTTGCAGTGCATCCATACATTTCACAACCTGCAGAACTGCACTGCCTTCCCTTCATAAAGGTCTGAGCTCCTGCAGAGTCAGCTTATGAGTGTTTCTGTCACCTCTAGGATGTAACGTTACCTTCCATAGCTAAACCCCTGAATCCACATCTGTCTTGCCTGTTAAGACACACAAGGTATGCTTGATCTGTCTCCCTGTTGGATTCTGTCTTTAACTGAGGCTTCTTTTACAGGCAGTACTGACTTTTTTTTGTTAAAAAGGTGGGCTTTAATGTTAATGATCTAGCCAGTCACAAAGCAGCAGGTTTACATTTTGGTTAGGTTTTGAGGAGAAATCTAGAAGCTTCTGAATATTTTTAATTATTTTTTTTCCAGGACTTTGGGGACAGTCTTTGGAACAGAAACTGCTTGGTCTTGAGTTTCTGATGGCTGTTTTGCTGAGGTGTGCAGTTCAGGTGTTGGCATTTGGGAATTAGACTCCCAGCTGCCCTGTCAGCCCCCTGGATTAGGAGGCTCACCTGGGGTTAGAGACAGATGTGGACAATTTCTTTCCCGGGCAGCTTTCCACTTCACCAGCTTTAGCTAATCTTTTGATTAATCTGTATCCAAGTATGTAAGGCAGAGCTTGGCTCACTGGTGTACAGGGCAAGTGGATTATGAGCTGCATTTCAGTGCACTGTCTCCTTCTGCAGTGTGGCCACAGTGGCAGTTTCATCCTCCAGGTGTCATCAGGGTCTTATTTTTAGTATTTTTGCGTATGCTCTGATGTGTAGTGCTGATTTTGCCTCTTTCTCATTGAAGAGTTAGGATGTATCCTAAGTAATGTTAGAATTGTTCTCTCTAAGACTTCAGAAAAGCATGTAGTAAAAGATGTGACCTTTAGTCACAGTAAAAATCAGTCTGTCTCTCTTGGTTCTGCCTCTCTTGCACGACTTTTAGTGGGGGACATGTTAGCATTTTATATAGACACAAGCAGGCATTAATTTGTATTGTTGATCTGAAATTCCTGAGAAATGAAACAAGCAAACTAAAGCACCAAAGAAACGAGCTTTACAAAAGTGGCTAAAAAGCCACCAGTTTCCACCAGTCTTTTGCAAGATAAGGTCCTTCTTGGCTGACTCAGAAGGAAAACCTTGGCGTAGTGTCCCTGAAATGTCAGGGAGGTGTGTGTGGGGTTGCAGGGCAAGAAGCAACACACATCACTGAGAATGAGTGAAGGAAGAAACCGTTTTAAGCTTTTTGAGCAAAAAGCACTGTTAATAACAATACAGTTGCTTTTAGCACAAGAAAAAGCATCCTAACTAAATTAGCCAGCTAGGCTAATTGACATTAGAGAGGAAAGCTTGTGTTTATAAACATTAGCTTACTCTCAGAGAGTAAAAGCAAAAGCATTTGTAACTTGCTGAAATATGTCAGGTTACTCATGCTCATGCAACCTCAAATCCATGCTGTGTCAGTCTGGTTGAAAACCTGGCCCTGTCAAAGGTATTTTCAGAACTTGTAGAATGTTTAGTGAATTTTACACTCTACTGCCTGGATGCTCACATGCTTTATAACCATGTTAAGAGTAAGTTGGCAACAGAGCAGGATTTGCCCCCACCCTGTTTAGTCAAATGTGTGTCTCTGTCTGCCTATGCTATTGCAATGTGAGGTACACGGATTGCCTGAGGAAACTCCTCAGAACATTTGAAGACCAGGAATGTAGAATTAAATAACCAAAAGTTTAAAGAAGCTGAAATCACTTCTTCCACTACGTGGTTTCAACTTCTCCCACCTTTGTTTATTTTTAGGTTGAAGTGGGCACTCTGTTCTTTTAATGCTGTTTATTCACCAGAAATGGTTATAGTTTTCATGATTCTTAGGAGGGAATACACATTAAGGGTTGGTTTGCTTTCAGATCTGTACTCTGAACTTAGTATGTGTGTCTGTGACTTAGCCTTCCTAACTACAGGTTGCGGTGGGTGTCTGACAGGATTCCCATCTTTAGCGGCCTGTGGCTTGCAGAATGGTTATCTGATGGTATCTTACCTGGGATTAAAACCATGACCTAAAGGTCAGCTGCTTCATCTAATCATCAAAGCATTTTTGCTCCTGTTTAATATCAGTTGCTCTAAGTGGGTTCAGAAGGCCTCACGTAGTGCTGCTGTAGCCTGTCCCCAAGACACAAATGATTTTGCAGCCTCAGGAGTGTGAGATGCTGCAAAGCAGCATCACAAATTGAAAGGTGTACATCTTCAGTAAGTATTTTCAGTCATAATCTTGTTTGAGTTTTTTTTGCTTCTGCTGAGGTGATCTTGCATTTCAATTAATCTTGGCTTGCTTACTTGGCTTTGTGTTTTGAGGCACGTTTCTTTTCTTCACAAGTCCTTGTAGACAATATCTTAGCTGCACAGGGCAGCAGGATGCTGCATCATGGAAACGATTTTGATGCCATCAGTTCTGCACAGACTTTGGTTTGTCAGCACTACTGTGAACTGAAGACAAGTTTGGAGTAGAAAGAGCTGTTGGACAGTGAGCAAAGAGCTTTGCGTGAGAGTACGCTCTGAGTTCATCTCTTTTGTGTGGATGTAAGCAAGGGGAAGATGTTTCTGATTTTATTTCTTTTTACCTGTGATCAGCCAAAATGGTGCTAGTTATGTAGTGGCTGAAACTGTCTCTGAGGGGCCTGCTGGGTGGAGCTGCTGTTACAGTGATGTGATACGCTCTCCTACAGTAATTGCCGCAACATCCTTTGCCTTCTGTTTTCTCCTTGCATCCTGAATGCTGCTGCTTTGAATTCTTACCCAGTGATACCTTTTAATCTATAGCTGTTATCTTTAAGGCTTTTTTTTTCTCCCTTCCCCTTTCCATAAATGTTTCCATTCACCAGAGGGCTATTTAGTTGTCTAAAGGGAGCGCCCTAATGGCATATTTATTTTTAAGATTGATCCAAATATCCTAGAGCCTGTAGCAATAGCCTGATTTGTCATGCTTGTGGCCAAGCCTGTAGGTTCCCTTCAAGAGCCCCCTTGAAATGCAGTATCACTGCTGGGGGAAGGGGAAAGTGGTTGTCTTGGTTCTGCCATTCTCAACTGCATATGGTCCATGTGTTTGGGTCCTGTCAGTTCTGGAGCACTGCAATGACTGCCTGCTGGATGTTCCAGGCTCTGCACAGCACGTCCCTGAAGTTCTTGACCCAGTCTCCCTGCTTGAGGCACGTTTAGCTCCAGCTACAGTTTAGCTCCTGACTTTGAATGCTTGAGATCTCCTTAGAGATAGGTATAGGTGCTGACTTTTAGGAAGCTGCCAGTCCTTTGTAAAACATGCTGTGAGAGCCAACCTCACATGGCAGCTCTTGCTGTTCCAGCTGCCTTGCTGTTCCAGA